GCAATTTCATAATGTATTTTGAGTTTCTCTAATCAAATTCCTTCACCAAAGGCCACAGCAAGGAGTCTCCCTTCTCAGAACATCACCTGCTCCTCCTAGCTCAGGTACTAATGACTTCTGATTGTTTATTGATACCAATCTCTGTATTTATTCTCTACCCACCTATCTCTCTGATTGTCTAAATTCAATGTTTTGTTTTTATTCACTCTGCTATCTAAAGACTTATTGCTTCTTCAAGGCAAAGTAGGCAACAGATAGTTACTGCTCTAGAGTGACATTTTCTTTATTTTTAATATCTTTTGTACTTTTTGTATTATGTACATCACATTAAAACACACACTTCATCACTGCCTTATAGTCACTTTCTAATTGTTTTATATATGTTGCATGTGCACTTAAACTCCTATTGGTTTACTGCAAATAGCAATTCTTTTTCATCCTTGTGGCACCTACCAAAATTCAAAAAGTGGATATTTTACTGCTACAAAAAATTATTACTTCGTGACTTAAAAACAAGGGTTTTGTGCACACCTGTATACCCAGTGACTTGGGAGTATGAGGCAGAGGTTCGGAAGTTCAAGCACAGATCGGGCAATTTAATAAGACTCTGGCTCAAAATAAAAAGAAAAAGGGCTGAGGATGTAGCTTAGTAGTAGAGTACACCTGCGTCCAATTTCTAAAAAGGGTCGGGGGAAGAGGTTTTATTTCTGCTCTTTTCACTATTCAAGCATAAAAAGAGAAAATATTCCAAGGAAAGTCACTAAAGCATCTATTTTGTAGAAAAGGTACATGAAGAGAGGACTCTGTATGGCAGTGTCACAGTGGTCTCTCTCTTCAGAGGGACTGGGAGACTGTTAAGAGATACTCTGTACCACGAGTCTTCACAGCTCACCTTCAAGCCGGCTGGATCTTCTGCCACTGCTGTCTCACCAGGACATGACTCCAGTGATCGATGCAGCCTATCAATGGCTTCACTTGTGATTTTCCATACTGAATAAAGGTGATCTTGGTTCCTGGGATCTGCATGCAAGAAGGCATTATCTAAAAGATATCACAAGTACTATGCTCTGGCTAAGGCTACAAAGCCACAAGTGAATATTTGCAGGTAAAAGATCTGTATTGACTAAAAATTCTTGCCTCCAATTCACCTGGTCTCACAGGTTTCTCT